TATATAACAAAAACAAGCCAGTAGAGTTATATTTCATATGCATAAATACACCCACTCCAAGCCGTTACTCAGGAAAATTAAAGTTCTTAATGTCTATGAGTTAAACGTGTTCCAAAACTTGTTATTCATGTTTAAATATCAAAACGACATGCTTCCAAAATTCTTTAATACCCGATTTGTAAAAATTACTCATAAATACCTAACAAGGTGCTCTACCTATAATTTTAGTTTACCTAAATCAACTCTTAAAACATCTGACTACTCAGTTTCATATAGAGGCCCTCGCCTGCGGAACATAGTTCTTAATGAAAATATGAAAAGTATAACTTCAATAAATTTTTTTAAAAATATAGTTAAACAGTATTTACTTGAATTATTTTCAAAAATTGAAGTTTTTTTATATAATGAGTATTTGTAAATTTATATAATGAGAAATTTGTTAAAAGTACTTTACGCTTACTAAAGGGGCTTGATGACAAGACTTTTGTCTTCTACTTGCTCCTGTCGTTCTTAATTTTTTTATTTAAATTTTATTGATGAAAATTGTAAAACAAGAACGTTGTAAAATGTTTATAAAAGACGAATTATTGGAAACATTTCATATATATATATATATATATATATATATATATATATATATATATATATATATATATATATATATATATATATATATATATATATATATATATATATATATATATATATATATATATATATATATATATATATATATATATATATATATATATATATATAATATTGCAACAAATTATTCTTATTCCTCGTTTCTTACTTTGTGTGCTCTCTACCAATTGAATCATATTATCCTATAGAAAAGGATAGAAAAGAATTAGAAAAAACTGTTAATGAAATATTTTTTAATTGTACTGTTTGACCACGTGTTGAACATTCTTTAAGCACATCTGTAAAAAAAATATACATTCTTTGTTGTTCTTCAGTTATTGCAGGTTTTAAACAGATCTCTAATATATTTGAAAACAAAGATCACTTTGTTCCTTTAATATCTTTAAAATGTATTCCTAAAAAATACCAAGTTCCTAATATTTTTGCACCTAAAGTAGTAAAATTACCTGAATTTAATCAACTTACTTCTTCAAAATCTAGTATCCTGTTTCCTGATTCTACTTAGGAAACAGATATTTTAGATCCAGTTACAATTCTTTCCACTTTTAAAAAAAGAAAACAACTCACAATTGATCAATTTACTATAAAGTCACCTTTTCCTACAGACAAAAAAATTTGTGCTGTATCTTGGCCAATCAAATTAAAAAGTTTTTCCACACTATCGTTTGCAGAATGTTCTTCAAAATATATCTATTCACCGAATAAGGCAAGTTTAAACTCTAAAAGTAGTTCTTCTGTTTTTGGAAATAAATGTGAACTATCTTTTGTGAACAAATACAATATCGGGCTCAATGAAACCTATGGATTTAATAAACTAGGCAATGAAGGTAAGTATGATTTACTAAAAAATGTTTATAAACCAAGCTCTAGATTTCATTTTGAATCCAATAAATCAGGTCGTTCCTTTCAATTCTCTTAGCTCTCATTATGCTCTTGTCTTGCATATTCAGAAATTTAAAAAGGTGCTTATTGTGTTATTTGTGTTATTTTTGGATCTGAAGAATCAAGTCATAATGCAAGTAAACTTGTTCAGCTATATAAATCTCCATTTGTGGCATATTCAAAGACAATTTATAAACTGAATAAACATGCTGAAAGTTCACCAATTCACCAAGCTGCAACTCTAAAGGCAACTCATTTTCGCCAATTTATGGAGCAAAAGATAAATTTTATTGACTCAAATCTCAACAAAGTAATTAATGAACAAGTCAAGAAAAATAAAGAAATATTAAAACCAATAGTTCTGGCAATTATTATGTGTGGAAAATAAAACATACCTCTCCGAGGTCACAGAGATGATTCATTTTACTATGAGAATGAAAATGGTAACTCTGGCAATCTTCAATCAATTTTGAAATTAATATCTGATTGTGCAGAAAACAGTTTGGTGAATGGGCGAATTGCTACTTCAAAAAATGCTACATATCGCTCTAAAACTACTCAAAATGAGTTGATTAATATTTGTAATGACATTATAGTTTCTATATTGTTTTGATGTTCTGAAAAAAAAAATTGAAGAAATGTTTCTAAAAATTCATCACTCTCGTCTAATAGATGTATGTCGTAAAATATGGATTGCCAGAATGGATGGTTTAGATGTGTTTATCGAGGTACTTAATGCTATAATTAAATGCTTTTAGCTAATGATTAATAACGATGAAAAGTCTTGGAATCTTGACTCAGCGCGTGATGCAAATAGTTATTTCTTTGCTACTAATTCATTCCAGTTTTTTGTAACTTTAATTTGGATGTAACAAGACCAATTACAAAAAAATTTCTCCAAATCTAAAATATCTCTAAACTTTGATGTTTTGCATCGCATGAAAAAGTAAATTTGTTACATCTTGCTTTACAGCGACTAAGATCACACATTGAACAAAGTCATGGTGCTAAGTATAGTGAGACAGTTGTATTGGCAGCTAGTGTTGGTGTTTATGAGCACAAGCCTCGTACAATAGGAAAACTGCTTAATCGAAATAATTGTTCGAGTGAATATATTAATGAGTATTACAAGAAAGTTATTACAATTCTTTTTCTTGACCATTTATCATCCCAAATTCAATTACGTTTTTTTAATAGAAACATTGCTGTTTATAATGGATTCTTTGCAATTCCAACTAAAGTTTCAAATGTTGCTGAATGGAGAAGCAACTTTTTTATTTTTATTAATAAGTATGAGGATAAACTTCTGGAACTACGCTATATCATGACCGAATTGATCATTTGGGAAGATTATTGGCGTAGTTTTAAAAATTCCCTTCCAACTACTCTAACCAAACTCCTTCTCTTATTGATAGAATAACTTTTCCTAATATATTTACCTTAATTCAAATTCTTGCAACTATTCCAGTAACAACATGCATTCGAGATAGATCAATCTCTGTTATTCGTCGTTTAAAAATCTATTTACGTAACACAATGTCACAGAATTGATTTAACAGTCTTGCTTTAATGCACGTTCACCAAGATATAAGCATTGAATAAAGTGATTGATTATTAAGTTAGGAAAAATCCTCGTAGAATGAAACTTGTAGATATTTTAAATTCTGATCCAATTTAAACTGTTTTATTTAATAATATAATATAAATATATTATTTACTATTCTATATATTTTATAGAGTAATTTAAATAGTGGTCCTAGAAAGTTCTGCATTTTTTTTTTTTTTTTTTTGTAATTTTTAAGCATGAAATTAATAACTCAAAATATATTTACAGTAGAATCTTGTAAAGTCTGATTCTCAAAGGGAATAGATAAATAGTCAGACTTAGCGAATGTTAGAGTTAGGGGAAGCTCTCGGTATGTATAGAAAGTTTAATGGGAATTGAAAATCTGACTTAGTAAAAGTTTGAGTTATCATACTTAATTATAATTATAAAGTTTTCATTATTAATAAATTAGCATTATTGATAGTTATAATTATAGTTTAATTATAACTGGATTTAAAAATAAGACTGTCAATACATTTTTATTTATATTTTTGGGGAATATCCTTGGAAAATAAATGATTCCAGAATATTATGAAACTCAGAATATTTATTTTATTACTGTTACATAATTTTGTTTATAAACAGTGTTATATAATGTTATTAAGTCTATTCACTATTATTAATGTATTTAGTGTAAAAGTTTATTATTATTGTTATTATTGTTATTACAATTTATAAATAATTATTGTGTATAATTATATATTTTAGAAGTTAAACTAGATGATTACTTTAGATATTTTCAAGTTTCTGTTTAAAGATCATATTAGAAACAAATTTTGAGTTCCATTAAAACTAGATTTTTATAAACAGTTTTTTTTATCAGTTCTTCAGTTTTCCTACTGTTGAAATATGGTTTTAATTTAGTAAAGTTTTATGATTTGAAATTTACTTTATTGGTCATAAGCTAACAGTTTAGAAAAAGACAAGGGCGGGGGGGGGGTTATCCTAATAATTAGGAGGATCGGAAATTTTTCTGTAACGGAATGGAGGGGGAATAAACGGAAGGGAGGGGGAATAAACGGAAGGGAGGGAGGGGGGTTCTTAATATACCGAAGGGTCCACGGTGATTTAATACTTATGAAAGCTTGGGATTTTATTATGCGCATGCGTCCGATACAACTACTCAGTTTTCAAATTTTATGTTTACCGTGTTCAAGTTGTTAAATACCTTCCAACCATGTTTTCTGTTTTAAAAGATAACATTGAAATGGTTGCTAATATTTAGACTTTTAAAATGGAATTTCACATGGGTGAGTTAGTTTATGAATAAAATCAAAGTGAAAAGTATGTTTAAAAATTGACTTTAATTATTTAACATTATACTTGAATATTGCCTAAAATAACACTAAATACAGATGCCAATTATGGACGAAGTAAAATTTTTATGATACTTAGGTTAGTTTTTAATATAAATACTGTTTTTTGTCTCTCGAAAAATATTAGTTTCTTTTACCAATTATTTTTTTATGAAATATATTTTCATTTTTTAGTCAAGAGGTTTTTATAAAAATATTTTTTGGATAATGGCTGAAAAACATCAGCAAAAATTATTGCGAGTCTGCAGAATTTGCGGAAATTTGACCGGAAGAGACTCTATAAAAACCAGTAGTAGACGTGAAAGAATTTTAAATATTTTTAAAATAAATATTGCTGAAGATTGTTTAGATGTTCACCCAACACAAATGTGTTTAAAATGCAATGCAACAATGGTGAATATAGAAAACCGTGGTAGTACACTTTTGAAGCCTATACCAAAAGCATGGTTAAAGTGTCAAACAAATGTGTGTGATTGTGTATTTGGTAAAGTTGGTCGAAAACCAAAACCAAATGTTGGAAGGCCAGGAATTTTTAAAAGATGGACACAAATTACCCTTAATCTGTTTCTCGAATCTTTGCCTTTACCATTGAAACAAGATCAATTATCTGAATTAAATTTTCTACTAAATCCACATTTAACATTATGCATTTGCAAAATTTGTGAAAAAATAATGCATCAACCAGTAATGATAAAAGATTGTCAGCGTTCTTTTTGTAGCCTATGCATTACATTGCTTATTAAAGGTAAACTAGAAAAGGAAGCAAAATGTCCTATATGTTCAAGTTTTATCATGGTTAATAGCCTTTGCAGTTCTGTACATGTATTGGAAATGATAAAACATTCATATATTGCATGCAAACTTTGTAAAAAAAAGTTCTTTTCAAGGACACATATGAGGTTCATGATTGCCAAAAAGATCATTTAAAAAGCGAGCACAGCACAATCATTGATGATTTCTATAAAGTCAATGAATCAAGTGATGTCCCTCGAAATATCGAAGCTGCAGTTGTGCATGTGATTAAGCAAAAACTTGAGCATTCAAAAACAACAACAATAGAGTTTTCATCTGGTGGGCCAAGAGTATGAAATTCAATTATTTTTAATTTTTTTATATAGAATTTTAAAGAAAAAAGAAATTAGTCTAAAGTTTAAAATAAACGTATTAACAGAGATTGTGATTTTTTTATTGATAATTATTATTGATTTACTTTTTTTATTTAAAGCCTCTTTGCTTAACTGTAACACCTAAAGCTTACAAGGAAAGTGCATCATGCAGTATAAGTACACTTAAAAAAAGACACAGACTCCTAATGGAGGAAGTTAATCATCAGGTTGGAAATTCTAAAGATTCACAGGTAATGCAAGCTGCAGTTATGCTAAAATCATTTGATAACTGTAAAAAAGAAAAATTTTGCAAAATGCTAACATTGGAATTGTTCAACTTTCTGCCGAGGAACTGGTTGCTTTTAAAGCTGACGTAGGGATACCCTGGAATAAATTAAAAACAATGACTAGGTAAAACATTTTTTCAAGTAATTAAAGGAATTTCAAATATTAAAAGAGTAATGTTTACAAGTAAATGTTATGTTAAGATGTGTTTAAGTGAAATATTTAATGATGTATTATTGATGTTTATATAATCAGGATTGACCTGTTTGATTTAGCCCTGGTTTATTTAGTCCTAAAAATAGGGGTTAGCTTTATAATTTATCTTGTAAAAAATGTATCCCCAAATAAACCAGGTCCATCACTGATAATGTAAAATATTACTATGTGGAGAATATTATTATGTAGAAAAAGGTTAATTACTAAATATTATAGATGGTTAAATTCAAGAAATGTCCAGACTGCTTCTAACAGTAAACAAAGAGTTGTTGCAAAGACCTGGGCAAGAGATGATCTTATTGTGTTGGATGAAAATTTTACATTTCAAAATGAAAATATCAAGTGTAGTCTTGAAATCAAACATGCTCCTTGGGCATATATAGATAATCTACCTAAAAATATTGAAAATATGCTAAATATTCTTGAAAGGTATAAAGTTTAATACATTTGCACAACTTTTAAGTTAAATGTACAAAGATGTTTAAACTGTTGAAATTATTATTATTATGTTTATGTTTTTTATTTTAAGTTTCAAGTTAATAAAACATAATGGAATAAAGAATGATGAGATCCACATTAAAATTGGGGGAGACCATGGGGGTGGTTCATTTAAAATGAGTTATCAAATAGTTAACCAAGACCAACCCAACTCGAAATCTAACTCTATTGTGTTTAGCACATTTGAAGCCAATGACTATCGAACTAATCTTATAGTAGGGCTATCTCGTTATACACTGCAAGTTGATGAGATACAAAACATGAAATGGCAGTAAGTTACAATGTCTAAAGTTAAGAGTAATAGTAATTTATGTAAAACTATAATCTTTTTATTTATTTTATTGATTATTTTTTTATACTTACAATTCAATTAGAAATTGCAGTGTTCGTGTCTTTATGTTTGGTGATTATAATTTCCTTTGCAGCGTATATGGAATTACAGGAGCTAGTGGTAAGTTTGCTCTACTTTTATTAGACTCACAAAAAAGCATTTTTTTAAAAGTAAGTATAAGGCTTTGACAAGAAAACTTGAAACCTTTGAAAACTTAGTTAATTAACACCTTACTAAATTCATAGCTTTTTTGTTATGCATAGGTTGACATTGCTGTCTTTTTTGTGACATCACCAAAAAAAATATCCAACTGGCTCCAATATGCAGAGAACATGTTTCACAAAGATCTCTAAACTCCTTAAACAATGACTTTCATCGTTTTCAAAGTTATGGAGGAAATTTGAAAAATGCTAAATTTTTTAACAATGTGATTAATGAAACGCTATTTAACATTCCTCTAGACCAGGTAATATAATTTAGCACTTTTATTTTTTAATCTTTTCAATACTGGTGGTTCAATATTATGGTTAATATTAGTAGTCTAATAAACATTAGAAATTGTTAGTCAAATAATCCTAACATTTTTAGGTTGCTGTACCTGCTTTACATATATCTTTGGGTACCTGTTTAAAATTTTTTTAGATGTTTGAAGACGAATGCCACTTAATAGATATAAAACTTGCAGGAGAACTTGCTTTAAAAGATAATATGATTGGTAAAGTTGATTTTGACAAATATGTTAACATGCATATCCAATCCAATCTTGTAAAAAGTGTTATTGAAGACTGTGACAATAAAATTGCACTTCTACAAGATACAATATCTGTAAAAGTTTTATGTGAGCCAGATAAAACGGAAGAAATAAGGAACTTATATACACCAAGAACAATACACTATGATTTAATAAAAAACGATAAGGTACTGATTGTTATGTAACTGCAAAAATGTAGTTTTAAATTATGTATAATGTTGAATTAAATTTGAAATGAAATTTTTGGTAAATTAAAATATTTAAAAAAATTACAATTATATATATGTTTAAATTTTAAAAACTTATTTTTCCTAGATAATGGAATTAATTTCTTTAAATGAAGCAAACGTTCTTGATAAAACTTCAGGTTCTTACATTCAACAACTTGATGAGGTGTTGAAGGCTAATAAAGTAGAAAGACAAGCTTATCATGGAAAATGCTTTGTTGGAAACCATGTTCACACAATGCTTGAAGTTTTTGTTTTATAGTATATATATTATATTTAAAAAAAAAAAAAGGATCTACATATATTTAGAACATTCATTCTGAAAAACAGCATTTAAAAAACAAACTGCCATGGGTGGACTGGGAAACTGGTTACTGAAAAAATCCTGATGTGGCTTTCTAATTATTGACATAAGGATGCCTTTTATCTTTCCCATTTTTTTGCTTTAAACAACCAGATATTAGCAAATTAAGTTAATTTACTATATCCTCCCCCCATTTTAAGGTTTTAATTTAATTGGAGTACCAAACCCCACCCCACCCCTTCATTCTGCAAAAAACTAGAATTTGTCGACAAAAAAAGAACTTCTGAATTCAGTATTTAATAAATCAGTTTAAATAATTTAAACTAATGTTAAACTAATGCAACAGAACAGTAAAAATATTGAAAAATTATTTAATTTTACAAATACATTTTTTTTACCTTCAACCATTGCTAGATTTGTGAAATTCTGTTCCAAAACTAATTTCAACTCTTGGTTTTAGTGGCACTGATGTTTATTTGTTATCAATTAATGTGAGCTAGAAATTTAAGCAGTTATTTCTTTATTATTCAAAATGTCACAATTCCATGAACAGCTCGCAATCTTTTCAAGATAATAATATTCGCACGGTTTGTAAATTTGGGGCCCTAATATCAATGAAATACCCTATGAAAACCCTTTTAAGGGGGGATAGTACATGCCAATGGGAGTCTATATTGAGTTGTTTTGAAATCGGGGATTAACATCAAAAAGAATTATTTGATCATGAAGGTTTTTTAAAAGGGTTGATTTATGAGCCAAATTAAGCTGCCTATTAATGGTACAAAACTTGCTCCCTTAATTTTTTTTATAAAATAAAGATTGTAGCCCATGAAACGTAAAATGTTTATTATTTTATTCATTTTTTAAATAATTCTTTATTGAGCGTTTTAATCAGTGCAAGCGTAAAATCGAACTTTCAAAACTAACGAAAAGAGTAAACAAATATATTCTGGGAAAAGGCAGTTTTTGAAGGAAAACATATTTTTTTGTGAACAAATATTTAAGAATTTAAAGATGCCTACATTTGCCAAAAACCATGAAGAATGTAGAAAATCTGTTTGTGTTATCTGTATGAAGAAAGGTGATCAAGAATTGACTGAAAACTTCAAAGCTAAAATTCTTCAACAAATTCAGAAAGAAATCAACTTCAATGATGACAGAGTACCATTGGCGACCTGCATCTCCTGCAGATCTCACATTGGAAAGCTGTGTGATGGTAAAACAAATGTTGTGCCTCAGATTTATGACTTTGAATCAATTTCGATCAAGCCTCTTACTCGTTTTTCTACAGTCTGTGAGTGCTTGATTTGTAAGATTGCCAAACTCAAAGGAAAAGAAAGGCATCCATTAAGCAAGGTTCAAGATTCAGCACCAAAAGTTCCCCAACAATCTTCGCAAAATGCAGAAAAGCATTGTACTAAGTGCTTGTCAGTTATTGGTCGTGGGCTTCCTCACTACTGCACTCCTGGAACACGCCATGAAAATTTGAGAAGAATGGCTGCCTCTGATCCCATTGGTGCAGAGCAAGTTGCAGCAACAGTTTTGGCATCAAAAAGTGCATCTCCTCATGGCACCATCAGACTCAGTCAACCTTGTGGAAAGTTATTGCCATTGAGAAAAGGTAATAGTGCTTTTGAACTTTAAATGATTAAATTAAAATATAAATATTATCTATTTATTTTTCAAAAACTTACTTAATTTAAAAAAATTTTTTTCTGCAAATTTATTTGCAGAGAAAATTTTATTTATTATTTATTATTTTTAAATTAAGTAAGTTTTTGAAAAATAATAATACTTTTTGAAGGTCATGAACTATTTTTTAAATGCAATTTTTATAATTAGGACCTTCATCAGCACAGCAACTTTTCAAAGAGCCTCTCACAACGCAGAATATGGTTCAAATTCAGCAGAATATAGGACTTTCAAACAATGGGATGAGAAAACTTGGATCGGCACTAAATCAAATCAGTCCTATTAGATTGGTGGAGCCAAGTTTTCAGCAAAAATTCGCTCAACCAGGCCAAAAACTTTGTGATCACTTCACTGTGAGCAGCATCACTCTTGCTGAAAATAATCAAATATCCCAAGTTGTGCATTGTCAAAACCTCAGTAGTCTTAGTGATGTCTTCTTAGCATCAAGAAAGATGACAGATTCTGCAATTTTGAAACTAGGGATTGATGGTGGAGAATCTTTTTTGAAAGTCAGCTTCACACACATCATTGTGGATGAAGGTGAGACACTGCCACATAGCCCACTGCAGAAAACAATCAAATTGATGTCTCCACAAACAACTAAATCAACAAGTGTCAAGCAGCAGCTACTGGTAGCAATTGCACAAAACACTCCAGAGAACTACCATAATGTGAAGGCAATTTTTGACCTCACCCAAGTACAAGAGAAATGTCAGATGGATTCTCTGGTCATATCATGTGACCTAAAGTTGGCAAATATTCTGTGTGGCATTCAATCCCATAGCAGCAAACACCCATGTTGTTGGTGTTATGTTTCGTCTTTAAACCTCCAAAACTGTGGAAGTCCTCGAACTTTTGGCGAGATTAGGAGACAACATTTTGAATTCATCAACGCAGGAGGAGATACAAGAAAATCAAAGGAGTTCAAAAATGTCATTCACGTACCATTGGTTGATTTTCCTGATCACAAGCTTGTGCTTGAAGCTATCCCTCCAATGGAGCTCCATTTGTTACTTGGAGTAGTAAACCATTTGTATAAAAATCTTTGCAAAATTTGGCCAGGGGCCGAGAAATGGCCAGCTTCACTTCATATTCCTATTCAGCCCTACCATGGTGGACATTTCAATGGGAATGACTGCATGAAGCTCTTGAGAGGTTTAGACAAGTTGCAATTGGTCACAGGATACAACAATTTTAGTCAAGCTCATGACTTCATGCAAACACTTGCACTATTTAAGGATGTGGTCATTTCTTGCTTTGGCAATAATTTGGATCCTGATTATGAATCGAAGATCTCCAAGTTCAAACAAAGCTACATCCGCCTACCCATTTCAGTTACTCCAAAAGTACATGCAGTGTTTTACCATGTACCTCAGTTCATCAAAATCAAGAAAACAGGATTGGGTCTCTTCAGTGAGCAGGCAACAGAAGCTCTGCACTCCAATTTCAAAGTTCATTGGGAGAGATACAAACGAGATTCCTCACATCCAGACTATGCCAGCCAACTCCTGAAGTGTGTGATCGAATACAACAGCAAGAAAATCTAGATCTAAAGAACAGTGTTAAAAAAATCCTAAGAATACTCTTAACAGATTTTTGATATTTTAGTGCCTTTATTTTGTTCCAGATGATTCGTCTCTAGAGAGCATTATAATTTTTAATGGAATTATAGAAATTGTTGTTTATCTTCTAAATGCGATCATTAAGAAAATAAATGAATAAAATAAAAAAGCTCCCAATTTATGTTTTTAACATTTTTTGTTTTATGATAAAAAATCAGAAATGTATTTTTGTACTACAAATAGGCTGCCAAATGTTGCTTAAAATTCTTATTTTCTTCAAAACTTCAAGGTAAAAAATCTCCATTGGATGTTAATGCAGGATTTCAAAATCACTCTGTATGGCCATCCATTGTTATGTACTATCCCCCCTTAAAAGGGTTTTCATAGGGTATTTTATTGATATTAGGGTCCCAAATTTACAAACCGTGTTCGGGAACTAGGTAAGTTTTCCTTATAAGCAATCTGATGGTTGAGTTTAACACATTGTTGAGCTAATTGAAAAGCAAATATTGCAAACGAGCTTAGTATGCTCGTTGATTGCTTTTAGGTAGATATTTAATTAGTTTAAATATTTTTTATACTCAAACTATTTATTTTCAGAATTTGCAATCCGCACGCTTATGGAGTATTATCGGTTGACTTGGCCGAATGCATCTGTAACTCCGAAGATGCATTTGCTTGAAACCCATGTCATTCAATTTATTGAGAAATGGAGATTAGGTATTGGAGTTTATGGGGAACAAGGCGGTGAAAGTTTGCATGCTGAATTTAACAACCTTAATCATTTATTTTAGCACATGAAAGGCTGTAGTTGTTTAAAAAGCACGGTAAAAGAACATTTTCTGAGAAACCATCCGAAAGCTAAAGCTATGAAACTAGAAATAAAAAAAAGAAAAAAAATTGCATAGATCTTAAAAACTATTGTATACAAAAATGCATTGAAAATCCAATCTTTTAATAAAAAGGTTCACTAAGCAGTATATACTTCAGAAATCTATCATTCTTTAAAAATAATATTAATGGCTCTCAATTGCACCATTACCGAAAACTCAAATTAAGTAATTAGAGTATATATTGAAAAAACTACTGTTGAAAATTTCTTG